TAAAGGTATTGTGTCCAACTAAGAAATAAATAATTTTTTAAAAAGTTGATTTTTACAAACATTTAAATCACTTCTGTCCTAACTTTATTTAATATATTGACTGCATGTCATTTTTAAAAAATTATTAATTGAAAACAGAATTATTTATTCGATTCAGCACCAGTAAATGTGAGATCCTATTCTGCCAGAGGTTTATGAGATTGTTTTTCTAGCCTTCTTTTCTAACAAGCCTTCTGTTTGCATTTCAGGTTGACATTGATTGCAGTCAGAAGGTGGTAGTTTATGATCAGAGTTCCCAAGATGTTGCTTCTCTATCATCAGACTGCTTTCTCACTGTACTTCTGGGTAAACTGGAGAAGAGCTTCACCTCTGTTCACCTGCTTGCAGGTAAGGCTGTAATAACAATGAAAAGGACTTGGAAATTCATTGAACTGTATGAGTAAACATTATTTCACAGCTCAAAGTACAACTGTGGTGTGTAGAATGATTTATAGCTTTTGATTGTTGTTAACAGTTCCACTTAACTTGAATACTGTCATTCTTCCGCATTGGGCAATGTACTTTTGAACTAGCTGAAATGCCTTTAAAAAAATATTTTTTAGTTATAGGTGGACACAATATCTTTATTCTATCTTATTTTATTTTTTTAATGTGGTGCTGAGGATCGAACCCAGTGTCTCATGCATGCTAGGCGAGCATTCTAACTCTGAGCCACAACCCTAGCCCTGAAATGCCTTTTCATTGAGTGTTTAAGTGCCACATAGATCACTGTGCCCATATGGACAGTTCAGAGCCAGTTGCTTCTGTCTGGAGATTTTTTCATTCACCTGTGATATAAGAACAATAATCTACATCTCAGATCTTGTCATTAGTGTCCACCCCTGTGGCAATAGCCAAACCAATATTACTGTGTCAGACTTATTAAAAGTAGATTTTTTTTTGATATTAGGGAAATAGGAGAGAATATATACAGAATATATCTTTTAATTATTAGGGGGACTGTTTTAAACCTTATTTACATCTGTATTTTTATTTTGTTTTTATAATTGGCAAAAAATTCAGTAAATGCTAAGCAAGCAGCTATTTTATAAAAAAACATAGGAAACCAAATATTTTATAATGTTCTGAGGGAGAGCAGTGTGGTAGTTCCATCTCATAGAATTCCAAAGCAGACTGTTCTTTTTCTTGCTTCCCCTGTTCTGTGGACCTTACTGAAGTCCGTTCTTTTACTTGCACTCACTCATGAAGTGGGAAATAGTTTGCCAATGCACAGTGCCTTGCCATAAAGCTGCTGTCAGGCAAATTCAGCCACAGTGATGGCAGGAGTTGTTGGTGTGTTAACACTTTTTAACGGCAGATTCAAATAAGATTTCTATGTCTCCAGTTGTTTCTCATAAGCTTTTGTTTCAGTTCTCTAAGAACAAGGATAGTTTTTTCAGTTCTCATATTATCTATAGCTGTACCTTTAATTTATGTTGTGATTCTGTTTAATCTCTGAATATCCTTAAGTGAAGTTTGCTTGTTATAAAATACAATTTATAGAATTTTGTGACTGAGAATAATAATATTCTATATGCTAGTTTCTCACAGAGGCTACTATAAGTTATAAGGTCACTGGAGATGATTTTCATGTTGATTCTTCCTCTTTCTCTCTTTTTTAGATAGCATTCCTTTATTTATGTGGTGCTGAGGATCGAACCCAGTGCCTCACACATCCTAAGCAAGCACTCTCACTCTGTCACAGCCCCAGCCCCAGATCCTGTCCATCTGGACAGGCAATTTTTTTGGTGCTGAGGTTTGAACCCAGGGCGTTGCTCATGCTAAGCATATGCTTTATGAGCTACCTTCTCAGCCTGATAGAAGCTTTTTTAAAGGAGTATAAGTGTGTTAAATATGACAACTGTTAGTTCCACTAAACCCTTTTGATAAGTTTACGCATTCATTTCATGCTTTTTTAAACACTGTGTGGGATTTTACTTTGGAATTTGTGAGACCAGGGTTTTTCCTAAGGTATTGCCTAAATGTGCTTCATTCTACCCCATTGGTATCATTATGAGATACCTTTTCCTTATGGGAGGTTCTGATGTGACAGCTTAGCCAGGCAGCACCCTGCAGAGGAGTGAGCTCATGTTGAGTTTCTAGGACAGGTGTCATAACTTTTCATATGCCCTTTACTTCCTTTACCAAAGAGCATTCTTTTATTTTCTGGGACAGTTCTTATCGTGTGTAGCTTTGATTGGGCAATAAGGAAGAACAAGAATGTAGTTTGATTTGATTAGTTTAATCAACCCTAAGGACACATGATATGACATGACTGAGCCAGGACACCCTGGTATCCCCCTTTAATGCAGGAAATATTTTCTAGGCCTAAACAGATTCACTGAGATATCTTCAAGAACCATATTGACTGTATTGTCAGTCCCATACCCCCATCCACATCTGTGGAATCTTGTATTTCTTTTAGGAGATCATTTCTAGTTCTAAATTACCTTATTTGGGATTTTCTAAGCAGTCAGGTCTCTTTTGGCACCTAAGAGAAGGGTTCTGGATGGTTAAAAGCTTCCCCATCTAGCCAAAAGCCTCTGACCAATGGGAATTCTCTTGGTGAGTCAATCTACTGCCCAGAGTAGATAGAAAAATTGGACAAAATAAAAAACAATGTTTGGGAAGGTGGGACCATCAATTCTTGGGAACCTGTTTTTATTTTTTGGCCAAGGTCCAACTGCTCAGAGAACATGCCAGGAATGTGAGACACAGGACATATTGATAAAAGTTTCTTAAATGTTTTACTTGGAGAGAAATATATGAATGTGGTAAAGCATGCTAGTTTCTCACAGGGGCTACTATAAGTTATAAGGTCACTGGAGATGATTTTCATGTTGAGATGATTTTCATAGGGGCATTATTAACTGCCCCTATGGCTTCAGGCAGTTAGATTTAAATCTATCAACCTTGTACCGATATGATAATTGGAAGACAGCATGGTTTCTTAGAGTAATTTTTCCATCAATTTAGAACTTTTAGTCACCTTGAAAAGAAGGAATGCATGAGCTATGTGAGATGGCTTTTATGGTCATTAGATATAGAAGTGAAGAGTTTGTGGCCTGAGATCTACTCGTGTCCTCAGGGCTTTCTTACTAGTACAGAGAAGGGGAACAAACAAACTCTCTAAGAAATTGAAAATAGCCTGTTTTTTTAAAAAAAACATTTTTATTAGTTATTGATGGACCTTTATTTATTTATTTGCTTGTATTTGGTGCTGAGAATCAAACCCAGTGCCTCACACATGCTAGGCAGGCACTCTACCACTTAGCCACAACTCCAGCCTGAAAATAGCCTCTTAGTGACCTCTGTGTCCCTCAAACAAGAGGAGACACAGACTTACCTTCAGGACATAAAAAGTGAAGGCTTACTGAAGGAAAGGTCATGGATACATGAAAGCTCTACTGGAATGCAGTGGGATTATTTTCGTATTTAACAGACCTTATTATCTTCATGTAACCCTCAAGGCCTAGCACTTTTGTATGTTTTCAATAAATATTTAACATGTAGATTAGCTTATATGCAGATTTTATGAATTTCACAGTATATATATATATATATACACACACACACACATATATGTATATATTTGTATATATATACACACATATTTGTGTATATATACATTTCACAGTATATATGTATATCAAGTCATTACATTGTATACCTTAAATAAATACAATATTTTACTTGTGAAACCTCAAGAAAACTTGGGGAGGGGGGACAAATGCTATTTTGCTCATGGGTTGCCATATATTTGCTACCTCTGCTTCTAAGTCTCATTTTGTGTAATGTTGTACAGAGTGGATCATCTTTTCTCCAATTGCTACCTTCCAGTGTGGTAAGCCAGTATATGTCATTTGCCAGCTACCAGTGGCTAAAGCACAAGGCCCAAGACTGTCCTTTGAAAAAAAAATGGACTGCAGAACTGACTAGTATAGTTCCTTGCTTCTTCATCCTGATATTTTGCACAAGCCAAACAAAAGTACTGTAGATGACAACAATAACATCAGTCTTCCCTTATCCCCCAATTGTGTTGTGTGTGTTCCAGAGAAATACCAGTTCCCGGCATATTCTGCCTTTTTACTCAGTCTCCTGGTATATGATGGGTACTTCTACAATTGGGCTCTAAACTTGGCTTTAGGAAATGGGAATAGAAAAGCAAATGGGAATAGAAAGCAAATGGGAAATGGGAATAGAAAAGCAAAAGGCTTGCCCCTGCTCTTGAGAGTCTAGTGATTAATTTGAAGAAACACAGTCATGGTAAATTAGATGAAATAAAGGGAAACATATGATCTGTGCTAAATTGCATGATAAAGTTAGTGATGAGGGATAGTTCAGTGTAGTCTGCAGAAGCTGAGGAAAGCTTGATTAAGGCAATGGAATTTTAATTGAACCAGGAAAGATGAGTAAGATTTTGAGTGGGGAAGGGATCCTTGGCATTCTGAAGCGGGGGAAAGCATGATTAGAAATGTCAGGAATGAACATACATTTGAGGGGGTTCTCCATTAAGAAACCAGAGTAGTTTTTTTGTAAAAAGTAGAGAAGAACTGAGACTAATTACTAGATCACCAGATCTTTCCTTTGACTGCTAGGGTCTGAGAAGTCTTCCTCTTCTACCAACTAAAGCCAACATTGTATCTACCCAGACTGCCCTAGGATCTTTTAACTGGTTTTCTCACATCTTCTATGTTACCACCTTCCAGTTCATTGTTCACACTATGCCAGAGTGATATTTTTACTTTTTATTTTATAGGGCTTTTTAAAAATATATCTTATTGTTTTGTGGTGCTGGGGATTGAATCACAGCCTCAAGCATGCTAGGCAAATGCTGGATCACTGAAGTATTTTCCCAGTCCCATTTTATAGTTTTCAAGTATTCCAGTATAATGTGCATTAGTTCTCTTAATTATAAAATCTCCACTAACTCTCAGGGCCCTGCTGATTTCTGCCTACCTCTCTAACTTCCTGTAATGCCACTTTACATTCTCATTTGTTTCTCTGTTTGAGCTTGTTTGTCCCAACTGCTATAAACCTGCATCAGTGAGCTTTATTGCTCCTCACAGAGGCTCTCTCCTTTGCCGAGGGTTTTCTTCTTCTCTATCTCTTAGATTTAGTGCAGTTGTTAAGCCTTGCCTAGCTACTAGGCAAAGTTGGTTTCCATTCTCCTTTGGGCACCTATGATAATTAGTTAACTATTCATCTAATGAATTGGTTAAAATTTGTCCCACTAAACTGGGGGCCTTTATCTTGGTCAACACTGTCCTTATTACCTAGAACTGTGTCCAGGTCACAGTAGGTGATCATTAAATGCTTTCTGAACTTACATGTTGAATTTCAGTGGT